AGAGAGAGAGAGAGACAGAGAGAGACAGAGAAAGAGAGAGAGACAGAGATAGCCCAGGATGGCCTTGAACTCAGAGATCCTCCTGCCTCTCCCTCCTGAATGCTGGGATTAAAGATGTGAGCCACCACACCCAGCCTCATTTAAAAAAAAAATACACACACACACACACACACACACACACACACACACACATATTTATCATGTTACTATAAGTGCCATGATACACACTGGAGGTTAGAGGACAACTTGTGAAGTTGGTTCTCCTTCTATCATGTAGGTTCCAGGGATTGAACTCAGGTTGTCAGGCTTGGCAGCAAGTGCCTTTATCTGCTGAGCCATTCTGCCGGCCCTAAAGCATACTCTCTAAGCCCACTGAAATGCAACTAATTGTTTTGTTTTGTTTTTAGAGACAGGGTCTCATTATATAGCCCTGGCTGTCCTAGAATGTATGTAGACCAGGCTGGTTTCAAGCCCACAGAGATCTACCTTCCTCTGTCTCCTGAGTGCTGGGATTACAGGTGTGTACCACCACAACCAACTTAGTACTTAATATTTTTTAAGTACTTTTAAAAAATTGTGCTTGAGGGGGGTGTTTTCAACACAGGGTTTCTTTGTGTAGCCCTGGCCTGTTCTTGCTTCTTACTGACTAGACAGAACTTGCTTTCTGGATGGCTGAGCTCTTGGGAGGGCATAAGTGTCTGTGGAGAATGCCTGAGAAATGGGTGCACTTTTGGAGGGGAGGGCTGCTTCCCTTGTAACTACTGCACAGAGTGTGCAAACCTCACTGAGCCTCTCACAGCAAGCCAAGGGCGAAGATCTCAACTCTACACTGAGCATGTGCTCATGTTTTTCTGTGAAACGAGACTCAGCTTCTCAGCTTTGATGGGGACGGGGTACATATGATATGATGGGAGTCTCCCAAAACTGTCCAGGCTGCCCTGAAGTCTGTGGTCCTCCTGGCTCAGGTTCCTGGGCACCTGCAGTTACAGGCCTGAGCCACCAAGTCTGGCACTCCAAATCCGTCAGTGTCTTCTTCCTTCCTTTCCCCTGGCAAAGGGGTAGGAGAATGGCTCAGAGTTCAAAGGCTGTTAGGTGTAAGTGAGGCCCTGGGTCTGAGTTGAGACTGTTAACCACAGGGATTGAAATGAGTGACAAAACAGTTGTTACACAGCTTAGCTTTGCCATGCTTCTGGTTTTGGTACTCTCCACAAGGTGAGAATGACGTCTGTGCTGAGTTAGCCAAAAGGGAAAAGGAAGCAGAGGGCACTGGACACACTAGCTGTGGCAGAAGTCAGTCTAAACTCAGTCCCCAGGCCTGTGATTAGCAAGGTTTTGGAAGGACTCATGCCCTGCTGCAGCATTGGCACCCTAGGTTCCAAAGCTGGTTTGGTCATAGTGGGACCAGAACACATGAAAACATGAGCTTCAACCCGCCCTGCCAGGCTCACAACTCCTGCCATTCCACGAAAAACAGAGCTTTTGGAAAGAGCCAGGCATGCAAATTCCAAATGGGACAGCACTCCAGATCCATCTAGGCCCTACCCGCTGGAGCAGAGCCAAACTGGCTCCACAGCTGAGACAGCCAGGGTCATAGGTTCTCCCTTCTCTAGATCCTACGATTCTGCAAGATGTTGGAGGTCAAAGGTTAAAATTCAGTGGGGTGAATAGGCAGAGCTGGAGTTCTGCCATGCAGAAAGGAAAGGAAGACAGCCCTACCTGTTCCACGCGGCAGAGTTTGTCTACGGTGCCTTGGTAATGCTTCATACAGTCTTCAGCAAGGTGCAGGTGAGTCGAATACTAGGAAAAACACAAGACCCGTAAAGAGATCGCCACCAAGTCACCAACCCTGAGTGAGTGTTCCCACAAAGGGCTCCCATGTCAGCAGCTACTAAAGACAATGACTATTGGGAGAGGGGAGTAAACCATGACCTACAGGAGAGGAAGGAGAGATCTTTCAGGAGGGTGGAGTGGCATGAGGCACAATGCCCTCTGCAAGCAACTCCCTGAACACGGGATGGGTGCAGCATCTGGTAAATACCTTGCAGGTAAGCGACATCATTTCACCTTTATGATCAGGACACAGAAGCCCTGACAACTTCCTTGCCCTCTCTCCGATCAGCCACTCTGAGGGAGGCCAGCACTGGCTAAGGCCTGTGTGGTGAGGAGCTGAGGCCTCCAGTCAACATCAAGGGAGGAAAAGGAGAGGGGAGAAAGATGGAGAAGGGAGAAAGATGGAGAAGGGGAAGAAAGTGGTAGGAAATAGGGGTTCAGTCTTCCTTCAGGCTCCCTTTTTTTCTTTTCCTATTAAAAACTGAATCTAAAATGCATATTTGTGTGAACAGCCTGGGGAGTAGGTTGTGAGAAGTTCTGCAGCTCAGCTCTTCCAAGTCAGTCTGGGTGGTGTCTTCATACCTTGCTGAGCTCCTTCTGGTACTGCGGCATTTTCTTCAGCATCTGGGAGAGATCCCGCATGGTGGTCTAGGAGGAAGGAAGCAGGGTGTCA